TCGCAGCTCACAGAACAGCAAGTCAGAAAAACTACAGAATTTAAAATAGGGTATTTCATCACAGCAGAATTTAACGAAAATAAAAATCAAAAAAGAAGTTGTTGCAACCAAAGTAAATTTCTGAGTGGCTCGTTAGCCAAGCAAGGAAAGCCATTTACCAATGGTGAGGTAATTAAATCGTGTTTGATTACAGCAACCTAAGAAATATGTCCAGAGTAGGTAGACTTGTTTAAGACTATTATGCTTTTGGCTTAATTAAAATTATATGCTCTGACTCAAAAGAAGAAATATTGAAGAACACCCTTAACCTGCCCCTCATTCACAGAGGTGGGAGGCTCACAAGTGTTGCATACTGCCCATGTTCTTTAACTTTCTCAGTGTACTAATTGGTTGTGCTGATTTTTTCATCTACTTTTTCTTTTCTTTTTTCTTTTAAAAATACTTTTTGTTGTGAGGGATCGCTTTCTAGGAGGGAGAGAAATACAGGGGAAAACTATGATGATGTAAAAAACAAAAGTCATCAATAAAAACTTATTTTTTAAAAAAATCATATGCTTGTGCTTTCATATTTAATACCTACTGTGACAGACATTTTCAAGTATGAAATATGATAAGCATTAACAGATGAACACGTATAATCAATTTTAATGCTAGAGAACACTAATTTTGAGTCCCAGTGAAACAAAATGTTAGCTTCCGCCAAAAAAGAATTCCTTTTTTCTCATTAGTAGAACTGTATTACAGGGGCAGCTAGGTGGCACAGTGGATAGAGCACCAGCCCTGAAGTCAGGAGGACCTGAGTTCAAATCCGGCCTCAGACCAAACACTTGACACTTACTAGTTGTGTGACCCTGGGCAAGTCACTTAACCCCAACTGCCTAAGCAAAAAAAAAAAAAAAAAGAACTGTATTACAGAAAATTGTGTGTTATTATTATTATTATTATCATTATTATATTTTTAATTTTGGCAAGAAAAATTGGTGGAAATTTGTTTTTCTCTTGTTATATGAGTATCTGCATAAACGTGAGAAGCCTAAGATAATTACCATCTTACCCTTTATAGGAAAAAGTTTGCTGACCCCTATTCTATACTAACCCATTTCAGTTACCTCTCTGCAGATAATTATCCAACCCTATTCTCTCTCCTGACATACATTCTTATGTCAACAACTGCCTATTGGACATATCTAACTAGATGTCCTAAAGACATCTCAAACTCGATATATCCAAACATAACTCACTAGTTTTCCTTCCAAACCCTCCCTCTACCCAGTTATTGTATTACTATGAAGGACATCACCATTTTCCCAGTCGTTTTTAGTCATGTCTGATTCTTCATGACCCCATTTGGAGTTTTTTGGCCAAAATACTGGAGTGGTTTACCATTTCCTTCTCCATTTTCTTTTACAGATAAGGAAATTGAGGCAAACAGGGTTAAGTGACTTGCCCAGGGTCACACAGCTCATAAGTGTCTGAGGCCAGATTTGAACTCAGAAAGATGAGTCTTCCTAACTCCAGGCCTGGCACCATATCCACCTAGCTGCCACTGCTTGGCACATAGTAAGTGCTTAATAAATGTTTGTTACTAACTATAGTAATCTTGAACAAGGAAAATTTCACAATATGGAAAATGTAGTTACACAACTCAGGGTTAGGTATAAGTTAATATTTCACTTCATCATTTAATCCAAAACAGTAGTCACTTAATCTTGGAAAATCATTTCCCTGAAATCATGCAATCCCTTTAAGACCATTTCCTTCAAGAGCTCTCTTTCTGACCCCTGTTTACCCCCAAAGCTGGTCACAAAAGACCTTCTCCCTCTGATCAATTCCTTTATCCCTGCTGGGGAAGCGGTCAAAGATCTTAACTAGAATTGAGGTATTTTCTTCTAAAACTGGTTACCACCCTTAATCTAGTTTCTGAGGGCTTAGCTTCCTCCTTGATCTTTTACACACTTTCTTTTAAAAAAAAAAGGCAGGAAGGGTCAGCATAAAGAGATTTTAGTAGAAAATAATTTTAGCTGAGGACATTGTTTCCTGAGAAGCTTGACTAAAGTACTGATAAAGTCTCCTTCCTTCAGCTAAATCTGGAAAGGATGTTAGACTGGAGATGCATAATATTTTCAGTTGAACTAAAAAGGAGCTTTTAAAAAGCTTCATAATTCTCTTGAGAGGAAGCATAGTGTAGTAGAGTGAGTGCTAGATTTTGAGTCAGGAAACCTGGGTTAAAATCCCAGCTCTGACACGAGATACGTGGCCATGAGCAAGTGATTTTACCTCTCAGCCTTAGTTTCTTCATCTGTAAAGTGGGAATTATAATACTTGCCCATAAGGAAAGCATTTCATACACTTTAAAATGTTATAAAAATGTCTGTTGTATAAAATGTCCTGAGAATTATTTTGTCTCTCACACATTTAAATGAATTGGAAGTTGTTTGGGGGCAAATTGAATTTCACAAATGATGGCCTATTAAATTTCGGAAAGGGATCCTCTGTTGGTATATGGCAAAATCCACTGGTGATTTGTTATAAAAGAATTCCAGAAAGTTATGATTTCTCCAATTTAACAGATGCTTTTAAGTCTCTTGTATGTAGGAGATACTGTGTTTGGTCACCAATCTTGGCCTTGAAGGAGGTTGAGGGTTATATAATATGGTCACAAATTACAGTGGTTTGATTTAAGGAAGAATGTGAAAAGATCTGTTCAAAGTGCTCTAAGAAAATGGGAAGAAGAAATCACTTTTAATTTGGGGCTGGTGTTGGAGAAGAGAAGGTGGTATAGAAAGGCTTCGAGGAAGAGATGAAACCAGACCTGGGCTTTGAAGGAAGAGAATTTCAGCAGGCAGGAATATAGATGTGCATTCCAAGTTTGGAGTATACCTGCATGGAACATGAGAGAATTCAGGTTTCAGGAAGGGAAATGGCTAATAGTCCAGTTGGGTCACAGTGTGTAACTCAGTAAGGGGCATAATGTGAAGTAACAGTTCAGTTTTTAAAAGACCTTTAATGCCAGGCTGAGTTTGTATCCTATCCTTGTATTTTACCAGAAGCATCTTGTTGGCACAGCTATAGGCCTAGAGTCAGGAAGACCTGAGTTCCAATTTGACCTCATGCTGTAGATAGCTATGTGACCTTGGGCAAGTCACTTAACCTGTTTGCCTCAATGTCATCATCTGTAAAAATAAGGATAATAATAACCTTTACCTCTATCTGTGAAAGACATTTTCAAATGCAATCAGCATTAACCGATAAACATGTACAATCAATTTTGATGATACAGAACACAAACTTTGAATCCCAGTGAAACAAAATGTTATCCCTCCAAAAGAATTCCTTTCTTCTCATTAGTAGACATGTATTACAGAAAATTTTATATTATTATTATTATTATTGTTTTGAATTTTGGCAGAAATTTGTTTTCTGTCTTATTATATAAGTACCTGCATAATGCTTCATTTTGCCTCATTGTTCACAAAGCCTAAAATATTTACTTTCCGGCCCTTTACAGGAAAAGGTTGACTGACCCCCCCCCCCCCACATAAACACGCACGCACCATAGTATCTCATTTGGTTATCTCATCAGCTCCAAGATTGCCAAAAGAAAGCAGAACAGGCTTAGGACAGACTCTTGAAGGACTTCCATGCTTAAAGAGAAGGCAAGGGAGGAGAGTATTAATGAGAGAATTCTCCCTTCCTAAAACCTTTTTCTTCCTCTTTGAGAGATTTCCATATATAACTTTCCCTGGGATCCCCTCTTTTTTTCCTATCACAATCTGCCTTGAAGTTATACTTGGCTGGGCAGCGAAGTGGCACGATGGCTAGAGCACCGGCCCTGGATTCAGGAGTACCTGAGTTCAAATCTGGCCTCAGACACATAACACTAGCTGTGTGACCCTGGGCAAGTCACTTAATCCCATTGCCTAACCCCCCCCCAAAAAAAGAAAGAAAGAAATTATACTTGGCTGTCATCCGTGGCTTATCCCTGCTTCCCAACAGTGTGGGAGCTCCTTGGAAGCAAAGACCATGCCATTCTTTATCTTTGTGTCCCAAATGTCTCATGTTGTACCTTACTCTCAGGAAATATTTAATAACTATTTAATTGAATTTGAAGGGACAGTAAGTGATGTCAAATACTTTAGAAAAATAAAGGAGGATGAGGCTTGAGAAATTTGGTGGCAAGGAGGATTTGGCAATTGGGTCATTGGAAGAAGTGGTTTTAGTAGCATGATGGAGATGGAAACCCATCTCCAGGGGATCAACAAATGAGGATTGTCACAAAATTGGTAACTGTTATTTGCTTTGTAGAGGAAATGTAGTTAATAGTCAAATGTAGGAGCTATAGTCCAATGTCTGACCCAGCCTGGCTGTGTGACCAGGGATAATGAGTCAATTAGGGTCCCAGACAACTTTCTCAGGCTGTAAATTGACAGTAGTCACAGGTCTGAGTTGGCAGAGGGCGTTTCCACACTGGGGCTTCCCTGTGCCAATGAAATCATGGGTTCAGTCGGGGGAGGGGGTGGGGGGATTAAATTACTATTTCTAAGATACAGAGAATTTACTGGGAATTTTTCATTTCTGATGAGCAAACTGGCCCCATTATACAATCTGTATCTAGTTCTCCCAACTGGCATGTGTATAGCATCTATATTTCAGAGAAAGGAATGAAGAACAATTCGATATGTGACAGATTTTCCAAATATCAAGCCATTTTGGGGAGGCAAGAATGGAAACAGGAAGTAAGAAGATTATACGTTTCCATTTGGTAATAGTACTGGTACTTGGCTGAGAGAAAAGCCTCCATAGATCACACGAGGGAATGGTCTTCTCCGCCAGGTTACTATGAATGAGAGATAGTCATTTCAGGTAGCCAGAAGCCGAATGTGCCTTTACTTCTCTGAGTACTTACACTCAACAAGAAGTCTTACTTTTTTATGTATTATGTGTAGAATGTATTTGTCAAGAATTGTTTTGACATTTTCTCACTAATGTTCTTGGATTAGAATTTTTTAGACAACTTCCCGAGCAGTGACATCTTGTCATTCATTGGAAGGATATTTCTGCTGTTCCAAATGATGACCGTGTACCCACTCCTGGGCTACTTGGCTCGAGTCCAACTATTGGGATATATCTTTGGTAATGCTTACCCCAGGTAAGGCCTTTTTTCTATGCCAATAGGATTTCTAGAGTGTCAGGTTATGTAAAGGGAACAACTAAATTGGCCATCCCAAAATAGAGAGCATTTTAAACTATAAAAATCTTCTTCAGTTCTATATTGGTTGCTCAGGACAGGTTTTTAGACTCTTCCCTGGGTATCTTTAAATAGGGAAGACAACTAAGAATCATAGATTTCAAGCTAGAAAGGACCTTCAAAGTCATCTAGCCTGACGCCTTCATTTAACAGGTGAAGAAACTGAGGCCAAGAGAGATATGAGGTAATTTGCCAAGATCATACTCCAGTTATCTAGAATGATTTAAGGACGTTCCAAAGGCAGGAAGCTGAGCTAAATGACTTCTGATATTAATTGGATTACCTTATGATTTGCTTGGGAAGGGAGGATAGACATGTGATTTTACAGGTATTGGAAATTCCTTAAGGAAAAAACTCTTATCGGTGACCTACAGTCTTGGAGAGTTGCCTGGAGGACTGATAGGACTCGCCCTTGTTCACAGGGCACAGAGGGGAGGCAAGCCTCTAAGCCTGAAGCCACAGGACCTTCCTCACTCCATGATGAAAATACTGTTAATTTCTTCAGAATGTGACAGGAAATTGTGTGTGTGTGTGTGTGTGTGTGTGTGTGTGTGTGTGTGTGTATGTGTATGTACAGCACCTTATGCTTTCATATCATGAAACTTGTGAGAAGCATACTCATGTTTTAATTTCAGTTGTTACTAGTTATTTATATATTTGAGCAATGTGAGTTAGGGCAGATTGTAAAAGAAGAGTTAAAATGTCTACCAGCCTTTGAAGCTCTTGAAGTTTCATTACATGTTCATATTTGGGGGAAAAAAAGTCTTAATTAGCTTTGATATATTTGAGGAAAAAGTGGTTTTTGATCAAGTTAAGTAAACATTTTGATTTCAAGTCTCATTTACGATAGTCAGATTTTAGCAGCTGCTTTAACTTAGTTTTTGATTGTGAATTAATAGAAATTTCTTGACAGCTACATGACACAGTGTTAAACCTGGAATCAGGAAGACCTAAATTCAAATCCAGTCTCAGACATTCAGACCCTGGACAAGTCACTTAACTCCTGGTTGCCTCAGTTTCCTCAATTGTAAATGGGCCCAGGGTTGTATGTGAGGTTCAAATGAGATAATAATTGTAACACACTTAGCACAAGGCCTGGCACATAGTAGACACTGTATAAATGCTAGCTGTTTTTAGTATCTATTAAATAAATAGTTCTTACTTAAAATAATTTTATCATAAACTTGCTAAACCTAAAGTTGAGAGCAACTAATTCTCCTTCCTCGGGAGATTTGAAACAGCAGCAGCAGCAGCCTCAATATTCCACATGTGGGAGGTGGATTTCATCAAATCCAAAGCTCTGGTTGTGTCTTATATCCTTTGCATTATTTATGGTCAGTTGAAATCAAATAAATACAGTTCGGTGGTGGGTCAAAAAAAAAAAATCCTTGGCGCGTTCTCTTTTGTACTTTGTGCTCTTCCCTCTCTGTAGGGGCCAAAGGGTGGCCCTTTGAGTGCAGAGCTCTCTGCCTGAAAACCAGCCAATGCCAGAACGAGCTTTGGGGGCTTCCCTTTGGGTGCCTCTCCCGTCCATGCAGCTTGCTCCCACACATGTGAGCCAGCACACAGTCAGCCCCACCAAGGCATTTGCATGTCCTTTAAAAACGTGGCCCTCCTTGAAGAACACATCTGTTGTGTCTTTGTTTAGCACAAAGAGCAAAGCCTCAGCCAGTACCTTAGTGAGTGAGTGTTCCACATCCTATGAAAGGTTAGGTCCCTGAGCAGACAAGACGGTTGGGCTGGAAGACTAGACAGTTTTTAAATCTACTGTGTTGTGTAACAGACGACCTGTTTATGTAAGCATGTTTTAAATTATCCTTCCCCTGATGCTTTTCATTTTCTCTGGTATATCTCACTGGATTTCATCAGCTTGTGATCATTCTTTAAAAGGGTTTGATTTTGTCTGGAAATTCAGCTATTGAGAATAGTTTTTCTTGGTGTGTTTCTCAAGCATCAAGTATTAACAATCACATATTACAGATAGATGATTTGTCACATTACACTCGACCTTTTAAAAGGGTTTGAAATCTAGTAGAACCGCAGTCACTTGATGCCCTTTTGATCCAAGTAACTGATTCATTCAAAAAGGTGAAGTTAAATGAGTGAGTACACTCATTAGGCATGCCATTGCCATTTTGGAAAAGTGACAAATGAAGGCTGTTATCTTTCAAGAGTTCAATGCTGATTTGGCTTTTGTTTTTCTCTTTTTGTTTTATTTCTTTCTTCCATGGCCACCTCTTGATTTCTAGTATTTTCCATGTGCTGGTTCTTAATCTCATTATCGTGGGAGCTGGAGTGAGCATGGCCTGTTTCTACCCAAACATAGGAGGAATCATAAGGTATTGATCACGAACCTCTTATTCTGTTAGCGTTTCTTTATAGGAAGAAGCCTTTCTTATGTCTAATTTTACTTGTGTAGTTTCTTCAAATTTGCTAAAACTAATTATAATTAAGTGCCAGCTTTTAGCAAAAATCAAGAAAAAATTCATCCACTCCCATTTCAGGTTTGTTTGAGATTAGTGGTATTCTTGTAGGCAAGATATCTTCTTGGGTGGCCCTAGTCTCTTTCTGCCTCAGGTCCCATTACTCCTTCTATCTTATACAATTGCTATTATTGTCTTTCTTTCTTTTTCTTCTTTGGAGGCAATCAGGTGACTTGCCCAGAGTCACACAGCTAGTAAGTGTCTGAGGCCGGATTTGAACTCAGGTCCTCCTGACTTCAGGGCCAGTGCTCTCTCCACTGTGGAACCTAGCTGCCCCAAGTTGCTGTTATTTTCTATTAACCTTTCTTTTTTAAACCAAAAGTAGAGATCTTCTTTTAAAGAAATGTATGTATATATCTTAGATATCTATACATACGCATTACATACATAATGTCAGCCGCAAAAACCCATCTGTCAAATATAGAGGAGTTCTGGCTAAGTCAGAATAAAATTACTTATTAAAAGGGAAAGATATTAGGCATACATGGTGAGGCAGCCATGTAATGGAGCCCCTAGCCCAGGAGAGTCAGGGGCAATTTATGCTTGAAAACCACAAAGGGGGAGGTTTAGGGAAGAATTAAGATAGAGAGTGGACGGTCTTTTCCAGGACGAGGTGAGACACAGAAGCAGGATGTTTTGCAGCAACAGATGACCACAAGGCTGATTTAAGCTGGTTTGAGGTGCACAGCTCAGCAAGGTCAGCCAGCGAACATCAGCAAAGGCATCTGGGACTGAGCAAGACTTTTGGCTCACTGCAGGATCCTGATTGGCTCCTTTTGGCAAACAGGCTTACTCTGTCCACTCATGGAAAACAGACATGTTAGTCTCAGGAGTATTTTCACAATAGAAAGGGAGAATTTTAAATTGCTTCCCCTAGACGTCTCCATATACTGTGACCCCATGCAGCAAATCTATACCTCTTCTCCCTCGTGACTCTTGTGATTGTGAAGCTTTTTTTCGCTCTGGGCTCTGGGCAAATCTGTTTACTTTTCTTTGTTTTAAACATTTCCTTTGTCTTTATGAAGTTAACCACCGGCATTTACTTATTAGTATTGCAGTGGGGAGGAGTCGATTGAGGTGAAAGCATCCTTGGAGAAAAGAGAGAGAAATTTAGCACTGAAATGTTTTGCCAGAGTATTGTTCTCCACCTGGGGACTCAGAGATAAAATTGGGGAGAATTTTAGACCATTTTATTATAGCTCCCCAAAGCAGAGAGGGAACATTTGCACTGGGAAACCCACCTAAGTAATGAGTCAGGAGTGGGGTAGGGAACAAATAGGAGTGGCTGAAGAAACCTGTTTACCACTCTATGTCACAACTGCTACATAAACTTTTTTAAGTTGCACATAAATTAGGTTCACAGTTTCATATGCAATCTTCTTTTGCTGTTCTTCATTGTATAAAGGAATGTTCATAATTTTTGGTGTTTGCCAAGTTCATAAAAACAATTGTTTTTAAAAGAAAAAGATAAAAGAAAATGGCTTCCCTTATGTGTTACTTCATTGTCACCCCTACAAATCAGCTTATCACAAAATACATACCTATATGTCTGGAAGAGCAGAACTTTCCAAGATTAAAAATATTTTTTAAAAATGTAAAAATTTCTCCATTTGTATCCCTATTTGTGTTGTACTCTAAGCAGATTCTTATTTGCCTGGAACTCAGTGTTGTCTTTTAACGTCTCTGATCCAGTTTCTTAAAGACTGGATCTTCCTATGTCACACAGACTAGAAATGCAAGGGCTGCTTATGAACCCCATCCCACTCTGATAAACATGGGAGCTTTGACTTCTTTGTTTCTGACCTGAGCTGGTTATACCCGTCCTCAAACAACTTCATGGAGCTTACCGTATTAATGCTGAACTTAGTGCACACTCCCAGCTAGCTTAGCAATTGAAGAGAACCTCCAGGCTCAGGCTCCTGAGTAGCTGGGGTTACAGGTGTGTGCCACCAGGCCCACTTCTGTTTTTTATTCCCATCTTTCTTTCCTTCCTACCTGTTCCTCATGCCCTGATGACAATATACCTGCCCCAAGTACTTGAAGGGATAAAAGAAATGGATCACTGTTTCCTGTAATTTCATATCCTTCATAAAGTCTTTTTCCCCACCAAAGACATTATTCATTCTGCTTGCTTCCTTTGTGCCCTACCAAGCTGCCCTTGTCATTGGGAGAAGAGGGGTTCTGGGATAAAATGCAGTTAGTCTTAAAACCTATGTCTATAATTTCCCAGTCCACAGTTTATCAGAAAATACTTAACCAAATATATGCTTGTGTTGAGCATTATTGGAGGTTATACTGAAAACTTGATTCTTGCCCTCTAGTATACTTTTCTGTAGTATAGGAGATAGATAAACACAATACAAAAGAAATAGAAAAGTCCCTTCCTTATTATCTTTTCCAAAAAAAATTTATGGTAGATTGAGTAATGGAATAAGAATTGATTAGAGTTGTACATCCTTATAGTAATTCACTGAAAATTGTGCTAAAGATACTCCTTTAGATAGAAATACATAAAGATCTGTCTCTGTCTCTTCTCTCTCTCCCTCTCTTTCTCTCTTCCTCTCTCTCTCTCTCTCTCTCTCTCTCTCTCTCTCTCTCTGTCTCCGTCTCCTCTCCTCCCCTTCTCTCCCCCCCCACCCCTGATCAAATCTCTACCTAAAGTCCTTGCCCAAGAAAATTGTTTCTTGAATCCTCTTTAGCCAGGGGAGAATAAGAATATTTAGGAAATGGGAGTGTCCTTACAAATAAAGACTTGTTGCTTATTGCATGGAAAGGACTTATAGGACCCATTAAACCTTTATTCAGGAGAACTTAAGTTGTTGGGGAGGAAGAGGGTAATTGTGGGTTCCTTTTTTGTTACAGTCTTTAATATTTACAGTGAACACTACTGAGGCACTTTATGTCCATCTTCATTTTTCAGCTGATGCCAGCAGACCCGTAAAATTCCAGAATGCATAATTAATTTGTATAAGATCAAAGCTGAGAAGCCTATCTCCAGATGTATCTGGGGATGTGGCTACAGTCAGTGACAGCTGGATGTTTTGGGAAAAAATAAAAACTCTTTATCAAGCAGATGTTCCTGAACAGATAAAGATGAACAGGAAATAATGTTTTATATTAATTTTGATGGGGAATTTTAAAAGTTTTAAACCCTAGTGCCTTTTCTCAACAGTCATGATTTCCTTGTCTTTTCAGATTGAGGGAGATTGAAATCTTACTCTGTTTTATTTGTAAAGCAGAAAAACTCAAGAAGAACATTAACACAATGAGCTTTGTATTTTGCAGATACTCAGGAGCAACATGTGGCCTGGCCTTTGTGTTCATATATCCATCTGTCATCCACATAATATCCCTGTACAGCGAGGACCGCCTGACGTGGCCCACACTGTTAGTCCATGCCTTCATCATCATGGTGGGCCTTGCCAACCTGGTAGCTCAGTTCTTTATGTGAAAGCCCCAGTTGTTTGCTCCTATTTCATGATGTTTTGAGCTTGTATAACAGCTCAGTGTAAACTGAATTGTAAATGTTAATTGTGATTGATAGGATTTTGAATGTCTTCAAGTGTATTTGAAAATAAGGGAAGAAGGGACCCATTGACAGGGATTTGTGTGTGTCTGTCAAGAGGGCAGAGTCTGAAAGAAAACAAGGTTTGTCTTCTTACCTCCTCTACAACTTTTACTCACTCAACTCTAGTTATCTCTTCCAAAATTGTCAAAAACCAGATAAAAGAAAGATTTGTTTTCCAGGCAGAAATAGTTTTGTTAAGCCTTACACTATTTGATACTCTGTGAAACCTTGCTGTTCTGCAGACTTAGGCATCCTTGAGTCCCTGGATTCTTGTACATGAACCTGTCACAGAACAGCACCTTTTTAAATGATCAGAGTTGCTACTCAGTGCTTGAGTGTCCTTGAATCTTAGTTTGAGCTTGGTTATTAAGCATAGGAGTGACAGCTTGGCTATGGGGACCTTAAAAAGTTCTTTTAACAGAATTATCTGTAATTGTCCCCAAATGCTAGTTGTTAATTCTTGTCCATCAAATCTTTTGGGGATGAGATTTAGTCTCTTTTATAAATGTCTTTGAATGTTTTGCAATCCATGAGAGAGCAATTTAAGGTACTTTACTGCATACAGCACATTAGTGAAAATAGTGATTGCTGTGAAGGCCATCAGAGACCACTTCAGCCTTACTTGGTGTCTTCACAAGAAAAACTTGGAGGCTTAGAACTTCAGAGCTCCATGCTAGGCCAGGGTTAAATGATTTGTTTGTCAGTCACATTCCTGAGGGTCATTTTGTTTTTCCTGCTTTACAAATCTTGTTCCTTTGCGGCTGGTATTTTATCCACATGGAGTGGCTTCTTTTATTTTTTTTCTTGCACAGTAACATTCTAGCATGTTACCTTATTCTGATTAATTTATAATCTGCCCTTCCTCTGCTTCGATTTCCATTTTTAGCCTCTTCCTTTCATGACTTATTACCTACTTTAGGTTTTTTAGTTTCTCTTTTAAAAGAAGAGAACTAACTAATATCAGTCCAGTGACTGCAGCTTTTAGCATGGCATCAAGATGTTCAATGAAACCATCACACTTGTCACCCTTCTTCTTTGGAAGGCCTTTGGAAATGCTTTGCAGAGATAGGCCAAGGCAGATGTCATTGAGTTTGATGTCTGAAAGAAGCAGCTCTGATTATCATAGAAATTGCCTAGGAGTAAAGAGTAAAGTTTCATATAAAAATGAAAGTACTATTCACGTTAAAGGGAATTATACAGTTTACTTGCATCAAGTTTATTTTACAAATACAGCTTTGAAAAATTTAAGGGCAACTAAGGTGTTGATAAATCTTTCTATTGTTTCTATTTAGACCATGACTGGAAAACCAAATTATCCATTATATATTGAGTAATAAGTATTTATTGAGAGCAAGGTGCTATACTGGGTACTCTAGGAGATCCAGCTATGAATAAGATGTTGGCCTGCCCTCAAGTAGCTCATGTCTAAGGGGCAGAATAAGACACACACAAATATCTGTAATAGCTTATAAGGTTTGATAAGTGACTCAGGGAACAGTGCTGAAGGAATTCCAAGAAGGAAGCCAGCCATTGCTGTGGATTGTCAGAGAAGGCTTCATGGAGGAGGTTTGGTGTAGAGGGAGGTTGAACCAGGGCTTAACCTCCGAATTCATAGAAACTGTAGTGACTCTGACATAAATAGAGTCTGAAATTTTCAGTCTTTCTTTTAGAACAGCCCAAAAACTTAGAAAATTGGCCCCAAATTGGAACACATATGTGAAACTTAAATGGAACTGATTTCATTTAATACTTACTGAGGGACAAGTTTTTTGAGAACCATCTGTATCTTTATCAACTTTGTTGTACTCTTTACATTTAAATACCTCTTGCTTTTACCCACTAATGTGATTCCTGGGCAAAAAGCATAATACGGGAAAATAATAATTAGTAATAGAGTGGGTGTTACATTTTTTAAAAGTACCAGCTAAGTTTAGTTTTGCAAAAACTTTATTTAGGAGTCCACGTTTTAAAAACCCCATTAACTTATTACTCTGAGCTTATTTATAAGAGCAGGTAATACAGAGGCTGGATTGTTTTTTAAAAGCACTGTCCTTATTTACACTCTTCAAATTCAAACTTAACTTTTCATGATCTGGTCATTCTTTTTTTATTTTTTTTCTTTAATCAGTTTTACCTCAGTTCAGGTGTCGAAATTTATTTCCAAGTCTGGGTGATAACATGCACAATCTGTTGTTATACTACTTTTGTGCTAGAGCAAAACTAATCCTTACACACACACACACACACACACACACACACACAGAGCCATACACCCCCTTCTGCCCCAACTGTTACCTACTTTCTGGTTATCTGCTGATTACAGATAATATAATATGTAATCATACGTTGTGAACTAGCATTGTAAGAACATTACAATCCAGAGTTCTCAAATGTAATTTATTATCTTTTTATATATAAAAAAAATTAAACCGAAATTCTGGAGAACTACCCTCTTGTCTTTTTGTGTTTGTTTGGTTTGATTTGGTAAGTTGCATATTTATTAGCCCACTTATTGAATTCCTGTTGTCAGAAATGGCAAAGCAGTGGTATTTGTCATCCTTGCCTAAGGAACAGCATTTTTCCACCTTTACTTCCACCCAAGCCAACATCCCAAGTGGCTTTGCTACTCACCAACTCTAAAGAATGCTCAAACCTCAGACCAGGATTACATCAGTGATGATGTGAGACATTTGATGGACCAAAACCTAAGAATGAAACAACTATGCACTTGCTTTTTACTTAGTGAACCTTATGGAGCAAATTTAGCCCTTCACATGAATGTGACCAGATCTGGTCAAGTGTGAGAAAGGTACGTGTACATAAATTTTCCAGAGCAGTCTAGATCTCCAGAGTGCTTTCATTTCTTCATATCCCCGAGGAACACAACATTCATCCAATTTTATTCTTCCATTGTTCCCAGTTGTTTTTGAATGATAAAGAAATGGAGGAGAAAAGGGAACAAGCATTTATTAAATGAGTAGGAGAATGAAATGGCAAACCACTCCAGTTTCTTTGCCAAGAAAACTTCAAATAGGTCACAGAGAGCCAGACACAAGTAAAACAACTCAACAACAAGAGCCAGGCACTGTACCAAGCTCTTTACAATGATCATCTCATTTGATCCTCATAGTATCCCCAGGAGGATTTGAACTCAGGTCTTCCTGACTCCAGGCCCAGCTCTCTGTTCACTGCAGCACTTAGCTGCCTAAATAGACTATTTACCCCATTAAAAAATGAAGAAAATCTCATCTCTGACTCTCACACATTCAGATGTCTGGATCCTGGGGATATTTGGGTCAGGCCCTTGATGACTAGATGACTCATTTAAAATTGTCTCTAAAAGATGGTAGTACATTACAAGGGCTTATTTGAATCACAAGTATCTAAATAAGATTTTTTTTCCTAAAAGTCCATTTAACATATTTTTGGGTCATAACTATATAAAAGGCAATGAAAGGTATTAACAGAGGATACAAAGAAATATGGGACAACGTCTTAAAGAATTCCAGCAGTTTAACAAAAGAGAGAAGGCATCTAACAAGAATACAAGATACTAGAGAAGATAAGACTGATAAGTAGAATATAACGTACACTGTGATAAGTTAAATGTACAAAGTGGTATGTTCAGAGGAAGAAGAAGTTGCTTATTGATAGTAAAATGGAAAGTTTTGTGAAAGATGGCATTTGATTTGAGCTTGGAAGGACGGCCAGGAATTGGACAGACACAGAATGAGGGGAAGAGGCATGGAGGTGAGAAATCCCAGATGGTTTAATTGGATGATAGAATGCGTGGAATTGTGGAAGATAAGAGCCTCTGTAGGGTTTTTTGTTGTTTTAGGAGGGAAGTGACACAAATTTGTGCCTTAAGATTTCTTTAGTGGCTATATGAAAGATAGATTTGAAAAGGCAGAGACTGAAAAGGTGTCAAGAGTTTATAAAATTCTAGTTGAAAGAGATAAAGGCTCAGGTGAAAAGTGATTAGGATTGTGGCTGTGTGAATAGAGAGAAGGGTGCAAGAGAGTATGGTGGTAAAATGGACAAAACTGAGCAATTGATTAGATATGGGGGATGAAGGAAAGAAAAGAACCAAGTTTGACCCCAAAGTCATGAATCTTGTTAACTAAGAAGATGGTGGTACCCTCTACTAAAATAAAGACATTTGGAGGAAGGGTAGATCAGACAATGGGAAGGAAGGGAGCAGAGAATAAAAATGATTAATTCTATTTGTGACATACCATGTTTGAGTTGTTTCATCCAGGCAGAGATGACAAATGACCATCAGACAGATGGCTATGTGGGACTAGAGTTCAGGATAGACTAAAGATATATAGATTTGAGAGTCTTCTGTGTAGAAAGGAATGGATAGGAGAAGAGATTGCCAAAGGGGAGACTGTAAAGAGAAAAAATGGCCCAGAAAGGAGCCTTCGAGGGTAGGAGATATACAATGTTTCAGCAAAACTTAAAGCATTATATAAATGTCAAATTATTAAAGGGTACTGAGAAGAAACAGACAGGAAGAGACCCAAGAGGCGAAAATGATGTGGAAATTAAAAAAAAAAGAGTACCCTAAGAAAAGATGGTGGTCACAATGTCAAAATTTCTGGAGAAGTCCAGAAGGATGGGGACCTAGAAAAGCTCGTTGAATTTGGTAGTTAAGAGATCATTAGTCATCTTTGAAAAATTAGTTTCAGTAAAGTTTCAATAGAAAGACGGAGTCAGGAGTCAGATTTCTAGGAGTTAAAAAGCGCATAGATGAGAAGTAGAAGCAATGAGTGTGGAATAAACTATTTATAGGAGTTTAGTCATGAAAGGGAAGAAAGAAGAAAGATAATAGCTGCAAGAAGTAGTAGTCAAGTGAAGGTTTTTTAAGGCTGGAGAGACTCAGGCATGTTTATAGACTGTGGGAAGGAGTCAGTTAATAGGAAGACATGATAATCAATGGACTGAACTACTAGAGGGGGCAAAAGGAGAGAGGATTCCAGGGTATAAGCAGAGGAGGTTAGCTTTGACAAGGAGAAAGGCACCTCTTTCTCAGTGAATGGAGCAACAAAAGTGTATGGGTGATCGTGAAAAGGTGTTTTGAGGTAGAGAATAGGGAAGGTGAAGGTGTTAATGACAAGCTCCACTTTTTCTAGTACAGTAGATGGTCAGAGCCCATTTGCTGAGAGACGAGGTTAGAGATGATTTGGAGGTATGACTAGAAAGGAGAAGGTTTGGAATATCTTTTTCATGATTTTATGAAAAGTGAGGTGGAAAAAATGGAAGAGCAGAAGATTATGTTCAGAAAGAGGAACCTCAGAATTCCATATCTTGGAAGTGATAGTGTTTTGGGTAACAGTGAATGAATGAGTGAAGCATTTATTAATCAGATCCTATTGCAAAGCCCTCAGGATGTAAATAGCAAAATAAGCTCTCGAAGAGCTCACATTCTAATGAGGGAGGCACATATGGAAGGTTTCAGCTGCAAGTCCTGTGGGAAAATCCCATGATTTTTAGGATGCAACAGCAAAGCAGATGGTAATGCCTCTCCTTTCATGTCATTTTCATTGAGAAAATTCTTTTTCTGATGTTGAAACATCTGACAGTTCCTAGGACTTTGGTGGCAAAAAATTTTTCTCTTCTGGGTCTTTAGTAGCTGTGGCGCCAGCAACTGTAGAAGTTGCCAGGCTGCCTCTCCTTTGAGAGCTGCTTTCCAGGGTGATGATTCTTTGATGCCGAGAATGCTTGAGCTGAGAGTTTGCTGAAGAGAGCCAGAGTTCCTGGGACCATGTAGGAAGAGCTAGAGAGCCAGGACAAGTCCTGATGTCTTGTCCAACTAGTAGCTGTGTCTGGGACAATCATTGAAACTATAGAACCAGGAGAACGTCGTACGCAGTAACAGCTATACTGTAATGGTGATCAACTTCGAAAGACAGCTATTCTGATCAATACAATGATCCAAGACTGTTCCAAAGGACCCATGATGAAAAATGCTATCCAGAGAAAGAACTGATAAGTAGAAGGCAGGTATAGAATGATTTTACATACACACACACACACACACACACACACACACACATACACATACACACACATATATTTGTGTCTAATGGTAGCCATCTCTAGGGTGGGGGTGGGGAAAAGGAAAAAGGAAAAGAAATTTACATGATAACTTTATTGCATATTTTATTTTTGTTTTTTTTGTTTTTTGTCTCGGCAATGGGGTTAAGTGACTTCCCCAGGGTTACACAGCTAGTAAGTGTAATGTGTCTGAGGCCGGATTTGAACTCAGGTCCTCCTGAATCCAGGGCTGGTGCTCTATCCACTGCACCCCCTAGCTGCCCCTTTTTATTGCATATTTTAAAGGAATACAAGTTTTATGTAATAGATTTGCAATTTCATGTGCAATCATCTTATTCTTATTATTATGCTATGTAATGGAAATGTTTATTTTATTTCATGAATTAAAAAAAAAAGAAAAAGAAAAATGCTATCCATCTCCAGAGGTGGATGAACTGGTAAACTCTGAGTACAAATTGAAGTACAATATTTCCGTTAATTTATTTATTCATTTTTAGTTTTCAATATTCACTTTGATAAGATTGAAGTATAATTTTTCCACTTTCTTTTTTTTAAATTTTTCTTGCTTTTTTTTTTTTTTTGCAACATGGCCAATATGGAAATATGTTTTGCATGATTGATATCATATTGCATAATTGATGTCATATTGCTTGCCCTCTCAATGGGTGGGGGAGAGGCTGAAAGGAGGGAAAGAATTTGGAACTCAAAATTTTTTAAAAAATATTAAAAATAAATTTTTTAAAAAAGAAAAAACTACTACAATGCCCCCCTGTTTCTGTGCTGCCACTTTACTCTGAGTGACTGAGCATCTTCTCCCTCTGTGGTGGGAGGCAGAAGGTTTATAAAGGCATCAAACATCCTGTTTTTAGAGAGGTTGGATTCCACCCAAATGCTGGGGGTGTGAGTGACTAAGTAATCAATTTCAAAACAGTGCATATCAAATAAGTTGTCTATAGGGAAACGTGTTTGCACCATAGGACGTGCTCTACAAAATGGTGCTAATTCCAAATTAAATGATAAACCTAAATAAAATTGACTTTTCCACTGAGGTAACACAAGATATTCCATAAGTTACTCTCCTCTAAGAAAATTGATTGCACTAAAATTCTTTTCATTAAAACAAAACCAAAGATGTTTCTGATTTAACCTCATTAAATAATAGATTTATACCTTGGTCCCACAAACTGCTGTAACATTGTCTAATTATTCCCATAACACTCTAAGATATTTCAAAAAACTTTTATATGAATATATAATTAGTAAGACACAAATGACAAGCTCAAGTACTCACCTACTTAGTTGTCACAGGCTATGGAAAGGACTACAATTCTAGGCTGAGTAGCTTAGATCTTACACACCTGATCTTAGATATGTTCCAGCTTTAGTCTA